TCCTCCCCCTCCTCCTCCTTCCCCTCCTCCTCCTCCTCCTCCTCCTCCTGAAAAGGAACCGCCTTCAATCCTTGAAGCTCTTGCAACATGTTTTAAACGAATGTGCAAGGCGCTAAAGCGAGAGCCGCATTTTGAAAACCACCCGCCCTCAATCCGCGAAATTCTTGCAATGTTTAAACGAATGTGCGTGGCTCTGAGGCGACAGCCACATTTTGAAAACCACCCGCCCTCCATATGTGAGTCTGTTTCCAATGTTTAAGATTCAGGGTCATAACTGGTGAGGAAGTCTCAGACGAAACGCCCGGTCCGCCCTGAAAACTGGCCTCGGGGTGCGACAGGCAGAAGTTCTTTATAAGGAAAAGGGATGGAGGAGGAGGAGGGGAGAGGGGAGGAGGAGGAGGAGGAGGAGGAGGAGGAGGAGGAGGAGGAGGAGGAGGGCTCAACGGGGATCCAAGCCGGATGCCCGCCTCCCATCCGCCGAGCCCCAGCGGCCCCTCGCCCCCCCCCCCGCGCCCGGCAGAGGCTGGGGAAGCCGAGCCCGCTGGCCCGCCCAGCTCGAGAGCGGGCCCCCGCCACCCGCATCGGCGCCGACGTCCGCCGCGGGCAGGTGCGCGACAGGCCTGGATGGGGGGGGGAGATCTGGAGCAGGAGGGGGAGGAGGAGGAGGAGGAGGAGGAGGAGGAGGAGGAGGAGGGGGAGGAGGAGGAGGAGGAGGAGGAGGAGGAGGAGGAGGAGGAGGAGGAGGAGGAGGAGGTGAAGGAGGAGGCGCAGGAGGAGGGGGGAGATCAGGGCACTGATATCAGACGCCCAAAAAATTAGAGCAGGCGGTTTTTGGCCGTTTTCGGCCTCTGGGGGTCCTCACTGGGCTTCGGGAGCGTCAAAAGAAGACTCAGGACGAAAAGCTGGTCCTAGAGAAGTGGTCTCCTCGGGGGCCCACAAATCGAACAAATTGGAGCAGCTGGATGTCTGGGGATGGGGGCCGCGGGACGTCAGCTATTACTATCCACCACTGATTCGTCGTCGTCGTGATCGTTGTCGTTGCCATTGTCGTCGCCGCTGGCGGTCGTGGGTGGGAGATCAGGATACGGGTCGCGGGACGTCAGCTATAACTATCCACCACCAGTTCGTCGTCGTCGCGATCGTTGTCGCTGCCACGGTCGTCGCCGCCGCTGGCGGTCGTTGTCGTCCTCCTTGTCGTCGTCCTGGTCTTGCCAAGGGAGGAAAAACCACCCAGACCCGTTAATTGGCGTTTACTAAACGGCCCTGGGCGTTTACGAAACAGCCCTGCCTTGTTCGATTCCTTCTGTGGGTGCGCTTACTAAACGGCCTCGCTTGTCGGGGTGGTTATTATGGGGGTGGATGTTGTGCCTTCTAGCTTGACCAGTACTCCTGCTGCTAGTGTTGTGGAAGTCGATTATGGAGAGGAAGCATGCTGCCAAATTATTTCCAGGTGTCTAGAACATGTTTCAACCATGTTTTAAATATGTTAAAACATGTTGAAACATTCTGGAACATGTTTACCCATTTAAAGCACATCTTTAATTCAATGATAGGATTGTTAGAGTGTCCACTGTCATTGCATCCACAATGCTAGTGCGGCTGCTAACATCACTACCACCACGTTACCGCCACTCTGCCACCGGGTCTGAACCGCCCCCCGGCCGCGCACGGCACGGAGCGGGAAATTGAAGGACATCTGCATTACCGCCCCCGTGTCCAGCACGGGCGCGTGTTTGGTTCCAGAACGTTTCATGGGAATGTTGTCGTGCAGCTGGCGCTCACACCGCTCCTCACGCTCCTCACGCTTGCGTTGATCATCGCCTCTGTTCATGCACTGGTTCTGCGCTCGCGTGTGCTTTCCTCATCCTCGACCTCCTCCCCCTCCTCCCTCGTCCGTCCCCCACCCACCCCCTCTCTCCTCCCCCATTCGTCCTTCGTCTCTCTCCCTCTTTCGCCTCGTCCTCCTGCTTCTGTCGGGCCGGACGAAGGGGGGGGTTGGGAAAGAGGGGGTTACGAAATTTGCCGCATGCAGCTGGTTTCGGCCCCACCGAGGGGCCCACTCCTCGATGCACAGGCGCCTCCGGCGCCGGGAGGCGCTGGGAAAATTCAGCTACGTGAGCTAATTTCCCCCCCCCCCCCCTCTTTGCTATCCCCCCCTCTTGCGCCTCGCCCGACCCGCTCCTGCTTGGGAAGAGCTCCGTCGGCCGTCCGTCCCCCCACCCTCGTCCGTCCCCCACCCACCAACCCACCCACCCCCTTTTCGTCCTTCGCCTCTCCCTCTTTCGCCTCGCCCCCCTCTCGTCCTTCGCCTTTCCCTTTCGCCTTCGCTTCCCCCTTTCGTCCTTCGCCTTTCCCTCTTTCGTCCTTCGCCTCTCCCTCTTTCGCCTCGCCCCCCTCCTGCTCCTGGCTGGGAAGAGAGCTTCCGCAGGCTGGTCATCGCCGGGCTCGCCAGGGACCCCCTGAGGTCCACGCCCGTGGCGAGCTGGAACCTCTGGGAGAAGCGGCAGGAGGACCGAGGCCCGACCAGCCCCAGTCAGGAGGGAACGAAAACACACAGACACAATGAATCGTCGACTCCCAGGAAAATATTGGGAAAATATGGGAAGTGGGGGGGGAGACAGAAACCCAGAAAATATGGGAAAATATGGGGGATCATTTTATTTGTCTGCCTTTATTTGTGTGTCCCAGGGCCCCTTGATCAGTGGCGACCTCGGAGCCTCACCCCTGCCGCCCATCGGTGTGGAGCACCGAGGCCGGCCTTACGTCGGACGTGTCCCCCCACAGGAGGATTTTCGACGAAAAATCAAAAATACCCAAAAATACACCAAAAAGGTCAAAAAATAGTCCCCAGACTATGTTTGCATTGCTTTTTGACTATTCTTGGGGTATTTTTTATTTTTTCGTCGAAAATCCCCCTGTAGGGGGACACGCCTGACAGAAGGCTGGCCGAGCATCCAGGCCCCAGGACACCCAGCACGAGGAGGACCGAGGCGGCTGACTGGGCGGACGCCTCCAGGGATAGCATCCGGGCCCTGCCCAGTACCGTCCGGGTTGACCCAAAAGGGGGTCCAGCGACAAGGGGGTGGTGCAACAGGTTTGGTGCAATAGATTTGTGGGGTTGCAATACATTTGGGGCGTGTAATACAGCAAAACATTCCGGGGCGCAAATGTATTGCTGGATTTTCGCGTGCAATACATCAGTTGCAGTACAATGCCACACAATTCTTTGGCGCAGTACGTTTGCAATACAATTGCCCCAAATCTGTTGCACCACCCCCTTGCAGCTGGACCCCCTTTTGGGTCGCCCAGAACCCCCTAGCGCCTATCGGTTTGGACCAGTGGGGGTTCTCCGGTGGTGTGCCCCTTCACTGGCGCCCGTTCGCAGTTCCTGAGCCCCCACAGGTGTCCGCAAGTAATTGAACAGGTAGGGGCAGGGTGAAGTTCAGAGTGCCACTCCTTGGAAACTCCGTCAGTTCGGGCGCCTGGCCCTCATGAACCTAGAAGTCCTCGACCACTCACAACTGTGGCGACTGTTCGAGGGGGCACGGGAGGCAGTCACGTGTGACACCTCGGGTCTTCAGGCTTGGGAGAGCCGTGATGATGACAATGACCATGATGATGACGGTCATGACGATCATGACGATCATGACGAACATGACGATGACGACGACGATGATGACGATGGTGGTATTGGTGTTGGTGCTCTAGATGATGATGATGATGATGATGATGATGATGATGATGATGATGACGATGATGATGATGACGATGATGATGATGATGATGATGATGCTGATGCTGATGATGATGATGATGATGATGACGATGATGATGCGGAGGAGTAGCAGGGAGACGCTGACGACAGTGATGATAATGATGATGATTGTGGTGGTGGTGGGTGGTGGTGGTGGTGCTGATGCTGCTGATGATGATGATGATGACGATGATGATGATGATGGTGACGATGACGATGACGGTTACGACGACGGCGATGATGATCCTGATGGATGATGATGATGAGGATGATGATGTTGATGATGATGGTGATGCCGATGATGTTGAGGATGATGATGATGAATGATGATGATGATGATGATGATGCTGATGATGATGATGATGATGATGCTGATGGCGATATTGATGACAATGACGATGCTGATGACGATGGCGATGATGAATATGATGATGAATATCAAGCTGCTGATGATCACGATGATGATGGTGATGCTGATTATGGTTATGCTGATGATGCTGTCGATGATGATGCTGACGATGAGGATGCTGACGATGATGACTATGATGATGATGCTGATGCTGATGTTGATGCTGATGATGATGCGGAAGATGCTGATAAGGATTATGACGGCGAGTAGTGGTAGTGGCGATCGCGATGATGAATATTATGATGAAGATGATGCTGCTGATGATGATGCTGATGATTATTATGATGATGCTGTTGATGATGCTGCTTATGATAATGGTGATGATGCTGATGCTGATCTTGGTTGTGATGCTGCTGTCGCTGATAATGGTGATGATGCTGATGGTGATGATTATGATGATGGCTATGATGATGATGCTGATAATGATGCTGTTGATGATGCTGCTTATGATAATGGTGATGATGATTATGCTGCTGCTGATGATGACGATGATGATGATGCTGATGCTGATGCTGATGCTGATGCTGCTGATGATGATGATGATGATGATGATGATGATGATGATGATGGTGGTGGTGGTGGTGGTGGTGTCTGTGATGGTGATGGTGATGGTGATGGTGATGGTGATGGTGATGGTGATGGTGGTGGTGATGGTGGTGCTGGTGAGGAGGAGAGGGAGGAGGCGGAGGATGAGGAGGAGGAGGAGGAGGAGGACGAGGAGGAGGAGGAGAAGGGGAGAGGGGAGGAGGAGGAGGAGGAGGAGGAGGAGGAGGAGGAGGAGGAGGTGGAGGAGGAGGAGGAGAGGGAGGGGGGAGGAGGCGGAGGAGGAGGAGGAGG